GATGTGTTTTCTCATCAAAGGCATGGGTCCAAAACTAGATCGCAAGATACTCCCAAAGGCCAACCCAGATAACAAAGTGGGGAATAATCATCAGTGACTTTGTGAATTTCATTTAGATCATGACTCAGGAAAAATCACAACCAGACACTATGAAATCACATTCAAGGGAAGGACAACAGCAAAATAAGAAATATCACCACCCACTCAGGCCAAGATGGCATCAAGTCTAACAGTCAGATAGGAGGGGCTAACAGACATAAACAAGACTAAAGGGGAAACAATAGCATGGGAGGAAACCAAAGAGGCCTATCCTACTTCTTCCTTGATACACCTGCAGAGTACTCAATCATCGGGTGCTCCGCACGTCTTCTGCTTCTCTCTTCTAATCCACCATCAGTGTCAGATCTTGCAATGTCTGTCTCTTCCTCGTCCTCACCACTAGAGCCTGAGCTAGAGCTGGAAGAAGGGACCAAAGAACGCTTCCGGTGCCTGATACGTCCCTTAGTCTGAGTCAACTTGACCTTGACCTGACTCTCGTCCGAACTTGAGGAAGACTCGCTGGGGGTGCCACCTCGCCTGGTCGAAAAAGAGTTCTCTGAACGCCCGCTATGACTTGGTCGGATGAATCCACCTTCTTCCTGAGTTTCGTCAGGGTCTTCTTCATCGTCACCGCCACCGTTAGCATCCTCTTCATCTTCACCACCGCCATTAGCAACCTCTTCATCTTCACCGCCGCCGTTAGCTTCTCCTTCCTCTTCATCGGGCCGAGGTTGATTAGTCATTGCATTTTCATTGGCACGAATCGTAGCATTCCAACCGCAGGTAAGAGTCGATCGGAACTCGTCAACAAGTGGCTGATCTTCTTTGTCTACCACAACATCTGGCGCCGCCTCTGCATTAAAATTGAGTGACTTGCGTGGACTCTTCGAACAGACTTCAGACAGTATATCTTGCAGCGCAAGCCTAGCAATCGTTTGTTCAGTTACATGTTGATTCCAGAATCGGGGCGCCGCTTGCCAATCGACCGTGTCTGTCGTTGCCGTGAGTCTGAGATGCATGTTAGTCTTGTGGAGTAGCCAACGCACAAAGCTATCGATCCGGTACCATGGCGTGTCTTGAGGGGTCCTCTCGTGGTAGTGACCGTTATTGTAAAGCCAATCCGCCTTAGCTTCAGCAATATACACCAGTGCCCAGACATCCTTTTGGTTGTAGTTGTGGGAGTCAGTCAGACACTGCCACCAACCAGCCGCACCATACAAGAAAAAAATCGCCATCGATCCAAAGGCCGCCAGACGATCTTGCCCCCAGTCAATGAGAGCCTTAGAGTCATTGAGGTCCTTCACATCTCCGGTTTTGAACAGACTTTTGCTCCGATCTTCTGCTGTCATGTATTGAGAAACAACCATCGTTTTGTTCGGAAAGGACTTGGTCTTGATACAGTGGTCGAGATCGTCTAGAAAAAGCGCTTGTTGCATCATCAGACAGCAGAAAAGAGTCTCCCAAATCCGTTTCTGTAAGATCATGAGGCCGTTTCCCGTTCGTTTATTCCCATGGCTCGCAGTTCCCTGGGCACCAGCTTTCAAGGCCTTGATTTTCGCCAATACAAACTCGCCAGATTGGAACATCGTATCTTGCTTCCAAGTTGCAGATGTGTCGCAGACCGGCTTGTTGCTAGGTAGAACATAGTGATGGAAGTGGTCGAAACAAGACTGGGTGAGAGTGTGGATCTTCCGAAACGACGAGTCGATCGCCTTGACCGTATGCGGATCCTCAGTATAATCGCTGTGCTCATCCGTCCTGATCATCATTCCGTACAAGCACTGCCAAGATGAGGCCTTGACTTTGTCGTCCGAGTCATGCGCCGCCTTAATCATCGACAGATCTACAACACCTTCTTTGAAGAACGGATCGGCTGCGTCCACCTGCACAAGCCTTGGGCCTTAAGGAGAACATCAAAATCAGTTCTAAACTCATCTCACCATCCAGAAAGGCCAGGACCAAAAAAAAAAACACATACAAGTTGGAATCAAGTTCAAAAACTCATCCTTATACACCAAGCCAAAGGCTTGGATGGCTTCCAAGTCAGGCTTAAAGTTATCCATTTTCGTGTAAAACTCGTCATCCTCGAAATCGTCTCCAAAAGCCTTCACAATCTTTGCCACCCTGTCCATGAGTTCGGGGCCGTAGTTCCAGTGAGGATTCCTTGATTTGACCAGCATGTCCTTGTGAGCTATCCGAGCCTCCTCGCACGTTAGCGGGGGCCACATTGGAGCTAATAAAGCTGAACAGACCCAGAGAAAACCCAATGAGGATACACAGCAGAAAAAGGACAAAGCAAAAGAACAAATGGAGACAAACTTACCACCTGGTTGAGGAGGGATTGCATACACACAATTATCCTTCTCCTCCTTCCTCTGCTTTGCCTTTCGATCCCGCTCGAGTTTCTGTTCCGGCGTCATTTCCGACACTTTAAGCCTGGGCGTCTTTGGCGGTTTGGGAGTTTTCGGAGTCTTCTTCTGGGCCTTCCCTTTCCCTTTACCCCCTCGCTTCTTTGGTGCTTCCTCCTTGTCTGACAGCTCCTCCAACTCGTCCACCCCCTCGTCAACGACATCCTTATCCTTGTTTTGAGCATCCTTCGATTTTTCTGGCAAGGTCGAATTCGGCAATGCCCTCCCAGATGGAGGCAAGGCAGAAGGGGCATTGGTTGATTGACCGCCCTGAGACCGTTGATCGGAGTCGTCCAGAGTAGAGTTAGCAGGCAAGTCTTTTGTGGCCGGATGTACGTCATTTGTAGCTGGAGGAACATCGGTCGAGGCAGGAGCAACATCATTGGTGGCTTGAGGATCGGCGTTCGAGGCTGGAGGAACGTCCTTTGTGGCAGGAGGAACGTCATTGTTGGGCCGCGGAGTTGTGGTGTTCGAGATATTTCCATTTGATTTAGACTTTGATGCCGCAGTCGGTTGGGAAGTCCGCAAGGAGCCCCTTGTAACACGTTGAGCTGAACTGACCGGCTTTGACTTAGACTTAGAAAGGAGAGACGGTTGAGAAGCATTCTTGGAAGTTGAAGCACCTGAGGCCGCTGAGTCAAGGACATCGGATGTAGAAGGCGGCAAGAGAGAAGAGGTACCGGGTGCTGAGACAGATGTAGAAGGCAGAACTAAAGAAGAGGAACCAGCCACTCCCTGCGCCGATGACAAGTTGGAAATTTCTGGCCCAGTCGAACCGGATGAGGCGGCAGCCGACCGCAGGTTAGCCCCCGCTGACGAGTTGATAACCACAACCGGAGTCATCTTCCCTTTGGCCAATGATGACGAAGTCCCGGTCGGCTGGGGAGGAGGCTTTGAGATATTGGCCGACAGTGGCAGCATCAGAGAAGGATTAGATTGACTGATGAACTCCGAAAGCGAGGGCTGCTTATTAACAGGGAAACGGGGAGTGAGTCCAGCAAGAGCGGCATCCTTATCGGGAATAGCACGGAAGCCATAAGGGCCCAGGTTTGGGGGATTGAATTCTAGGAAAGTCAATGGAAGCATTTCAATATCAGCATAAGCATTCAAGAAATAGCCAAAGATGGCCAGATGTGGACTGACCAGACGTTCGAGCTTTCTTGGACTCCACCGGGCTGTCATCAAGGGACATAGATGTTGACCCCTCTGGAATCACAATAAACAAGCAAGCGGAGTTAGGCAACCAATAATGAGCTGAATGTCGAGTGACGCATGAGGGAGGAGGAATCAGACTTACGAATAGGCCTCTTGGCACCTGTCAACCCAACAACAGACGTCTGTGGAGGATCATCGGGTTCTTCCGTCAAGTCAATAACTTCAATCTCCTCCACTACACCAGCGCACTCCGACTCTTCAATCTTGCGGTCCAGCTGGGAACAAAACCTGGTGACCTTCCTGAGGTGTCGATCTTGGTACTCATAGGCAGCCGGTGCGAGCAAGTGATACCCCTCCCTTCGAAGCTCGGAAACGTTGGCAGCGGTGTTATCCTTATCCCGTATCCCTTGAACCCCAGTTTAGATTAGTTGGTGACTCCCCACCTGAATGATGCCTAACAGCTGAAAGACTTACATATTCCCCTCATGGCCTTCATTTCTGCCAGAGATGCTTTAGCCAAGTTAGGCAGGACAGCATTTGAGATAGTCGTGGCTGCTGAGGGTGTTCGTGTTAAGTGACCAGCATTCACGGGGGTGGTTTCTGGAATCCTTCGGGTGAGTCCAGCTTGATCTTTGGAGACGTCAGCCATTCGGGCAGGAGTCGAAGGATTGGCAGCAGGCTCCTGGAGCTGATTGGCAGTCGAAGTCGAGGCAGCAGGCACTGCAAAGGTCGCTTTGAGCTTTGCGAGAGCGGGAGGATCAATGTTCATCTTGTCTGAACGTTCGGCGGGCATCTTATCCTTAGGAGTCTTCAGGCCTGCGGACAACATTTTGCGGCCTTGAGAGTCGACCTTGAAAGAGAAAGTGAATAGAAGAGCACATCAGATATCATTATGTGGTGGGACCATATTGGAGAGCCGAGATATAACTAAGCCCACCTTGGTAAGAGGCATCAAACCCCCTATTGCTGGTTGATCAATTTCCAATGAACCCAATCGCGACGAGTGGGACTTGTTAGCCGTCGTTTTCTTGGTAGGCTTCTTGGGAGTTTGTTTGATAACGGTCTTAATCTACCCACAAGAACACATCAATAAATTTGCGAGAACACATCAATAAATTTGGCAACGGTAGGCAGCAGTCACTAGAGAAATGGAGAGAGATGGGTACCTTGTCGACCAAAGTAGACGAGCGCAAGCCGATATCCTCTTCATCAGGGGCTTCAGGATCTTCTTCATCAGCCGATAACGCAGGGTCTAGCACAGCCCCATCCCGGCCGGTTGAACGGAATTCGTCAGCTGTGGGTTTCGACTTCCCAGATATCTCCGAACGCTGCGCCTGTCAAACCGGGGGAGTTAGAGCTGATTTAATCAAGAAAAGATGAGCCGAGCATCACAAAAGACTCGACTTACCGCGGGAGGTAACTTCTTGTGGGCATTGACCACTCGAGCCAGACGCTTGGGAGGTGGCACCTTCCACTCCCCCGACGCAGGAATGGACGCATCCAAGGTCCTCTTGACTGTTTTTTCGCCCTGGAGTAAACGGGGATGATATCGTCTTATTAGTGACACAACCAATCTGACCCTAACCTTCCCAATTGACCACCAAGACCGACGACTTACAGTTGCCGCGATCGACTGGGGCGCTTTGGGCACCACTTTTATAACTAGACGGAAAGAGGAGAGGACACGAGTCAGCCATGAAGAATCTAGAAGCTGTGACAACCAGAGGGGCCAGCAAGTACTTCGGGAATAGAGGAGAGGTCGATCGGTGACACCAGTAGAAGTAGCCTTGGATACCTGGCCATTGTGGCCTTCCGAAATAGGTGACGAGATATCTTCAGGCAAAGAAAACGGGGGACCATTCTCGGCAGGCAACGGGTCGGAGTGAGGGGAAGACGCGTTCGAAGTATCATGCGCCATGAGGTCGGTCACCTATCAGATGGTATGAAGTCAAAGAAACATGTGAGCTCATGTCCCTCAAACAACCCTTGTCCCAACAACAGAGGCGAATTACTCACGGGTGAATGGAATTGATCGCTAGAGGTGAGTGACAGTAGAAGGGTGGGGTAGAAGGGTGGGAGACGAGTGAAGGGTGGTTGTGGGTTGATTGGTGGGTGACAGATGAAGGGTTGGAGTTAGTTGAACGGTCGGATTCGGTTGCAGAAGACTCGAGAGTAGTCGAATAAATCTGAAGAAGCCTAACGAAAAGGGAGCCGGCAGAAACCTGAGTGCGTGAAGGGCGCGGATGATCTGGAGGGCTGTGTAACCAGGAAAGGGGGTCAAGCCGAGCGTCCCGCAGGGGGTCTCCCACAGGGGGCTCCCACAGCCCATAGGGTTACGGGCGCTAGTGATAACCTCTGCGCTGAGGCCATAACGGATGAGCTCAGCAGTAAACAGCGCCAACCTAACCTTAACGACGCACCTGTACAGATAACGCAAAGACCAGGTTGAAGCAAGGCCATTGGGGGAGTTGTCTAATCAAACAACCAGCCGGATCGCCAACCATAGAGGCCTGGTAAGTCAGGCTGCCGACTTGTCAGTCGAGTATGACATGATATGAGGCCCACAGGGCATGATGACACAGGCCACAGGCCGATGTGGCCGATGTCATGAGGCCACTGACCAGCCAAAGTATCACACCTGGTCAATATTCACACTGCAAATGACACCACCGGGATCAACCAACAGACTTCAACCAACAGACTCACACCAAAGATGATCAACCAGCCAAATCTTGATTCCGGTGTGGAACATCCAAACAAATTATCTTATTATCTGACTCTGCAAAGGCCCACCCCCATCGGGATCAATACCAATTTTTCCCATCTGACTCTGCAAAGGCCCACCCCCATCGTGATCCATCTCAGTGAAATTGTAAGTACCATAAAAAGACCCCCTTATAAATTAACCGCTGATGCTGTCGTCCGTCAGAGCAACGTTATTAGCCCCAGTCGAACCCAAATCCTACATGGAACGAACCCATCATCAGGCCTCCCACTTGGTGAGTAAAGTAGTAAACCCATCAACAATTAGAAGCAAAACTAACCGGCTTCAGGCGAATGAGAAAACAGATCCCATGCAGACGCTGCCGAACGATTCAGACGACACAAGCATGTGTATTTGACGTCGACCGAGGGAGCTGCGCTCAGTGTGAAGCAGCCGGACATGTGTGCAATAATAGTGTTGGTGAGCATTCCATTGGGTCATTCATCTTGCCCCATCATGAGCTCATATGAGAAGCATGGAAAGCAGAACAATACGACGTGGAGAAACAAATCATTCGAAGGCTCAATAGGACACATAACCAACTCCGGAGGTCCAGTCGCCGGATCAGACATAGGCCCAGGTATGAATCAAACCAGCTTCTTAACAGACGTCCTTCTCAGGAGGATCCGCGCAGAAATCAGTCGATTGGAAAATAGAGTGTTTGGCTTGGAAGGGGATGAACTTGTAGAAATTCACGGCCTCTGAATCATCAATGTGAAAGAGATAGGCGCAATGTCATCTGTGTTTATCTGACCTTGAGGCAACCAAACACATCACTTCCGGCATCACCAAGATTCCGGGAGTGAAACGATCTAGAAAGAAATTATTCTAATGTGCCTTTCAAAGCAGAAAACCTGATACATCCATTTGTTCAAAAGAAGGCCCTTCTGGGATCACACTGAATGCGGATGTGGACCAGATGAATACCTGACGAGATGATTACCTAAAAGATTAGAAGATGTCATGTTGATTTCAGCTCCGGGAATCACAACATCACGGAAGTGGAATAGATCATACCGCCAAAAATTCGCAATCGACATCTTTACAATGAGTTATCTCATACATGCATGTGTCAGATAGAGGCTCGTTCCGCGAGCTCCTTTTGGTTATGAAAGAGAAGAGGTTCAGTCGGTTTCAGTTCCGGAATGTACATGATCCCGGAAGTGGATAACATGCATCCACAAATCTTTAGAAGTAATCATGAATGAAATACTCAAGTAGTCAAGTCGAATAGACTTGCTTTCCAAACCCCGATCCATCCATCAGCCCAAATGAAGCCCTTCCAATAAATAGAAGATGTCGTGTTGATCCCACTTCCGGGAATCACAACATCACGGAAGTGGAATACATCACACCACCAAAAAATGGCAACTGACCACTTTACAATGGAATGGCTCACACCTCAAGTCAAAAAAACATGCAATGAGATAACAGATATGATTACGTATTCCACTTCCGGAAACTGCAAGGTCACGGAAGTGGAAAACACTTATGGTCAAGTCAAGTAAACGACCTCAAGTCGAAAAAACATGCAATGAGATAACAGATATGATTACGTATTCCACTTCCGGAAACTGCAAGATCACGGAAGTGGAAAACACTTATGGTCAAGTCAAGTAAACGACCTCAAGTCGAAAAAACAGGCAATGAGATAACAGATATGAATACGTATTCCACTTCCGGAAACTACAAGGTCGCGGAAGTGGAATACACTTATAGTCAAGTCAAGCAAACGACCTCAAGTCGAAAAAATTTGCATTGAGATAACTGATATGAATACGTATCCCACTTCCGGAAACTACAAGGTCGCGGAAGTGGAATACACTTATAGTCAAGTCAAGCAAACGACCACAAGTCAAAAAAACAGGCATTGAGATAAATGATATGATTACGTATTCCACTCCGGAAA